TGTCCGTTTATCCGGTTATTATCATCGATGATATAGTTTTGTACTAGAAATAATGAACGAAACGAAAAATTGTAATATATCAATGGCAAAAAATAATCATGATATTTGCCGAACAATTCCTTCATACTTCGTCCTGTTGGGGGTAATCGGTTACCATATACCTTATTTTATTTGTAAATAATTTAGTTTCAGTTTCTTTATTTTGTTTAAATAAATTGACACCTGTAACTAAAACAAGTGCAGGCATTAGCACAATTGTAGTAATCTATTTTGTATTACTGGTATTGTAATATTCATGTTTACTTGTAACGTGTAAATATAACATCTGGACGATAATACATGTGTCTGAACAGCTACCAGGTTTCCTTCCGGATGTATTGTGTTCGGCTTGTTGGTGTTGGAATGATCTAGAGGAGCTAGAAAAATGACAGAGGATATTCTGCTAAAGCCAATGCTCTTCTCCACTTACTTAAAACATACGTCATCAGTGTAGTTCTAGGTGTAAACTCATTCGAAGGAAAGCTGCCATATCGTACCTAATGAAGGATGGTATTAACAATCAGCAACAGGAAAGTACAATGATTTGGATGTGAATGTTTTCTATATTGTAGTAAAAGGATTTTCGTATATTTTTGGCTTTTGTTTCACGTATGACAACTATGCAGCATCTAACGATATATGTAATCATTTGAAGACCGTAATCACTTGTTTGTGCTCCTCCATTCGTACGTAAGTCGGAAAGGCATAGAGTAAAGTCATTTAGTTATATAGGTTTTATTCAGAGAAAGTGCACATGATTAGATCTTAATGTTTTTGAAATAAGAAAAAACAAGATAATGTAACAATATAAGCTCTACACGATAAAATGTACTGTGTTCTTCGGATCAGTGATTACTCGTGGCAACTTAGAGAAAAAAAATAGGAAAAGTAGTTGATGCAATTATGTCTTTCCGAGTCCCTGCTCAATGTTGATTTTATTCTTTCCGTATCACACTTAGTGATATACGACAGCAAGGATGAGAATGTTATATATAAAATCACGAAGAAATGTTAATTTTAACGATAAATTCGAGCCAAAACTTTGATAAATCTACAATGACAACGATTATACAAAAGACACATAAGTGGACTTAACCCTTGCATCACTTGTTTTATAAACCCTAGCACCACCTGTTTTATTAAAACATAGCATCAGTTCTTTCGTAAACCCTAGCATCTTTTGTTTTATTAACCTTAGCATCACTTGTTTTATAAACCCTAGAACCACCTGTTTTATTAAACCTAGCATCACTTGTTTTATCAACCCTAGAATCACTTGTTTTATTAAACCTGGCATCACTTGTTTTATTAACCCTAGCATCATTTGTTTCACAAACCCTATCATCACTTGTTTTATCAACCCTAGCATCACTTGTTTTATAAACTCTGGCAGCACTTAATTTATAAACCCTACCATCATTTGTTTTATTAATCCTATCATCACTTGTTTTATAAGAGTGTCTTATCGTGTATCTTGATCGTTCTTTTTATGTCACCAACAACACAGATATTACATCGAGCATAGCTTATGCTACTTAATACATCACTTGTTTACTTTTTTCACACAGTTTTCATGGAGAACAAAAGTAGCCGATACGACAATGCTAAACCAATCGATGAATCACTGATTTGAAAAGCTAAACCGAAGGAGAAATAGTTTAACTTGAAATTTGTTGTTACGATTGAGAGCCAGTGATCATCAAGTGCACGTCCGACCACTTAACTGCTATGGTCGATAGCCAGCGTAGGGTATGTTGATGACGGAGTACTCGTTGCTTTAAAAGCTGTTATACGTACACCCTGTTGGAATAATAGTATTTTCATTGCTATAATAATTTGTTATTCAAATCACTCTCCGTCCGTCAACTGTCGGTCATTCAGTCCATCTTAAATCTCTTTTAAAGGAAATGAACAAAGTTAAGCTTTGGATATTAGTGCTGTTAAAAACTGTAATCAAATCAAATGCAAGCGCTGTATATGAATTTATATATTTTCAAATTAGCGCTATCCACAATTATTGCTATAGATACAAAATGCTGAAATTCCTATTAACGTTTTTACATTTCAGAGCAATATTTTCGATACGAAGAGCTTAATAATATGATTACCGCTTAAATATTACATTTACAATCTATGGTAGAAAATTTTCCTAACACCAAAACATTCAGGATTCTGAACACGCCATTTGTAACAAGGCAATTAGGAAGGAAAGTAGGCATTTAGTCTGATGATATTTTTCCGTACGTAACGTTTCAATTCGTTTGAATTGTGACTTGGTTCATAATATACACAAGTACTTCACCTTGTTTTTGATGATCAATGATTGAGAGTTACTGATATGTTTGACCCGAGTCGAGAGAACTATTGACTCCACAATATATACCTACACATACATGTTCATATCTCATCTCACATCTGGATCACACTATGACTGTTCCGTATTCTTCCTGGAGACCCAAATCAAATCCTATTATTGAAATACTGGTCAGGGATTAATACATTGTATAGTTATACGTGATATCGGTTATATTAAATAATGATATGTGTGATTTAATTGTGTCTTCTGTACCATTCTATATTGAGATTTTTCTATGTAATCACACCAGAATCCCTAATTATTAATATTTCTTTGAATGAGGAGCACCATCTCCCTCAGGAAGTGCGATATCGTATCTATCTTTCAAAACCTTGACCTCGTCTGGGTGTCAGCATTTACTTCCTCTATTCTATGTCACCCACGTGTGTATCACAGGTTGCATATTTATGTTAAATAAAGATACAATTTTTCAAAACGAATAAATCATGTAACGAAATAAAAAATAACCCGGTCCTATGCTGAGTTGATATTCTTTATTTAAAGGAAATTGTACTAATTTGATACGCTTTAAGCATTTTACTTCTCAATATATTTACAACCAGATATAAAATCGTCACGATATTAAAATTCACCGTTTCGGAACGGTATCAACAGAAAGTCATCTGTGTTATAATGTGACGCTACAGATTTTTTTTGCGGTGAAATGCGAGATTTCATGTTAAACCTATGCCTACTGAACATCATTAATACGTGTCGATATTTCAAACTCATTTTTGAACAATCAGATTACAATATTTGCAGTAAAATATGCATTTTCGCCAGAGTGCAATAAAGTATATGAAAATGAAAATTTTTGCCTAATAAAACAGGATGAAATTGTCTGTAGGTATTGGTCATGGCGGATCTGAAATAAATTATAAGATTGTTAAACGTGTTTGATTTACTTACTACATTTTTAGCTCACCTGGCCCAAAGGGCCAAGTGAGCTTATGCCATAGCGCAGCTTCCGTCGTCCGTCCCGCCGTCCGTCGTCCGTCAACTTTTCATTTAAACAACTTCTTCTTAAATACCGAAAGGCGTAGTGTTATCATATTTGGCTGGAAGGTTACTATGATGAAGCCAAACAAAGTTTGCAAAAAGAAACGACCTTGACCAATCTTACAGGTCACATGAGTCAAATGTGTTGAAACGTTTTAATTTCTTCTGAAATATCGAAAAGCCTAGAATCATTATATTTTGCCAGTATGTTCTTTTATGAAGTCCACGAAAGTACAACAAATGACCTTGACCCATAGTCAAGGTCACGGGGGTCAAATGTGTTAAACGTGTTACATATGCACAGATATAGTAATGTTGGTCATAAAGATCCAGGTGAGCGATACAGGCCCTCTGGGACTCTTGTACATTAGTTTAATCTATTTCTTAGATGTGAGCTAAAAATCCAACGGAGGAGTTCAATTGACGAATACACAATTTAACAGACGGAACAGCATTATTCTGCAGCATTAGTAAATGGCTGAAAAAAAAAACGAAAAAAAAAAAAAAAGAATAAATAAAATCAAACGAATAAAAACACCAAATTCTTGATGTTTTCTTAAATCATTGGTTCATTTACTGTTATTGATTAAACTGCTACATGTAAATTCATTTTTCATGCATAACAATGGAATCTTCATAACAGTATTAAGCAAATTTCAATATATACATACCATGACAAGCTCATTGTTCATTGAACGCTTATGCCAACCTGTAACACAAATATGTTTGATTCCAATTACAAAATCATCAGTATTTCTTATCATTGCTTCTAGTATCCAATTACTTTTACCGGTTTTGTTGATGTTGGAAACAAAATTACGTGATCATGATATTTTTAATGTGATTTTGCCTGTTGTATAAGGTATCCATATCTTTTTGTTTCTTTCCCTTAAATCAAAGAATACAGTTACAGTTGGTGCCATTATCAGTTTGAAAGTGTGCCGTGAAATTTGGCCCGAAATGTGGCCTGTTTAACAGTAAGACATCGAGTATGATTCCTTGACCCTTTAATGGACGGTTTTTACTTTCGATTTCCTTACAAACGACAGGCAAAGTAAGGTAGAATGCAATTCACAAGTTTATCTTGAGTGCATACCCCAAGTGGCGCTAACACCTTAGGGTGGATTTTTCAGAGATAACATGTGTGATAAAACGTAGTAAATATGCGGAAGTCAGAAGGATTAAAAACCAACCTACATATTAGTCAAGGTGTTTTCTTACATTTATCAAAGGCCGTCAGCTGTGGTAAATATTGGACTCCCCTTTGATGGTTAACTTTCAGTCACGAAGATCCGTTAAGAATAGTATAAAAACAATGATGAAACATAACATAGTGTTTTACCTGAAGACTTCGTTTATATCTACACTAGTATTCGAATAAGAATATCATCTGTTCGGAGACAGGTATGTTATATGATTACTATCACTGATACTTCAGTTAAACAAGTGTTTTAATTATTTTTTTTCAAATTATAAAAATCGCCAATCACTGATAACTGAATGTTTTGAAATACCATTAATAGCTGTACATCATATAAACATCTTGATGATGTAGAAGTTAGTGAATTGTAAAATGCTCCATAACGATTGAATTTGTATATTTCAGTATGTACTTGTGTAACATGATCTTTGCACTGACCACATTTCACTCGACGATGATCCTAGCAAACCCTTTAGGAGATTATCGTTTGCAAAACATTTTGCACACGGAAAATATTATTATCACCAGAGAAGAGGCTGAGGCTATAGCAATTGAGAGCCAATCTTACGGCACCACCTGTGACAGGTAAATTAAAACCAATCAGTAAAAAAGAATAGACATTTTTCGTTATCAAAGCCAATTATAGAAATCATGATGGCTGCTGTTGCAGCTCAAAGCGATGTAGATATAAAATATACTTCTGAAGCTTTTTATGTAAATACACCGTAAGCTCCATCAACGTCACTTTTATTGTTATAAAGGTTTTCTAAAGTTGATGTACAATTTAAAGGTATTTTAATGCACGAATTGGCCAATTCACAAATATGGATTTTCATTTTTCAGTGCAATTAGCAATTCTACAGAGACTCTACCAGAATATGCTGTCTCTCTGTGCCCATGGTACTACGAGTTACATCATCAGTCAGGCTTATTTCCCTCCCATGTACTGAAGGCAAAGCTACGATGTGACAACAGGGAAAACAGAAGTCCGTGTAAGAGGCTTGGCTCACGGGACTACACCTGTGTATACATCCAGAGAAGTGTTCGAATGATTAATGAAACGTGTCAAGGACGAGGCTGTGATTTTATCCGACCTATTAGAGTTGGTGCCCAATGTGTTCGCACACAATCCGCACATGCCTAGTGGCAACAGGTGGATAGAGAATATCAATATATATTTATATTAAGTGTATCATTTTGCAGTCGTACAAGTTATTCATATATGTTTATTTTGGTGCAGTGTATTTTGTATATATTCATGAGAAAGTGTAAGGGACATTCAATGTGATCTTTGCATACAAAATCATGTTGTAATTTACTATTAAATATGTGAACCACATAATAACATACATGAAACAAGCTAACTACATGTATACTCTTTTGTCTAAATTAAATATGTAAATGATTGTCTCATGTTGAAAAAATAACAGAAATATAATTAACTAAAATAAGTCTATTTCGACATTTTTTTCGACGGAATACAGATTTCAGCAATTGATTATTCGTGTTATTATGGATATCCACTATGGATTTGTGTACACGATAAGAGTATCTATACAAAGCTACCTCATATATCTTTAACAGCTTATCAATTATACCAACTATCTATTATAGTTATCATCATACACAATCTCGCTTAAAACCCGAGGAATTTAGCAATGTACATTTTCAATCATGTAGCACTGATAAGTGAAATGCATCAAATAGTAAATCTCATTTACAAATTACCGTAAAAAAGGTTTGTTTATCACTACTTTGGCACAATACATTAATGATCTATCTTTTTATTTAATTTTTCAACGGTTTATTAATTTTTTTTTGTTCATTATGAAAAAATCCTTTCTGCTTTTTTCGATTTGATTTTGTCATTCATGTATATTGTAAATAAAACAAATTACCTCACAATGCTGTTTTGTTGTTTCGTAATAATAGATTGATCGGGAAAATTATTTGTCATCATTAATTTGACTGATACCAGTATCAGGATTAATTACACATAACATTTTAAACATCTGTCTGACAAATTCGTAATATAGGATTCAAGAAGATGCAGGTTGCTGAAACAGTTTGACGGTCACAACAGTGACTCCATTGGAAAATATTCTATTTCTTTGCGCGATTTGAAGCTTGACGTGGTTAATGCTCATTTGTATACTTGTTGGTTCCATTGTTGTATACTCTGTTTTCATTTGAGAATGTGCATAGGATATGATGAGTCATTGACCGTTAAACATTTTAATTGGATTGCTTTGACCTTCAGTCTACTCGAGGATTTTTGAATCGTAACGTTAGTGTAAAGGTCCTTTTTGAAATTGTTCAGATTTATAACCATTTCAGAATTTTGGCGTTTGTCTTTTACCTTTTAATTCGTTTGATATTATTTTCTGTTCAATTGCTGTGTCATTCACCGGTTGATGGTCCTTATGACCTTTGATGTGTTGACGGGCCGTTAAGATAGTAATGATGATGATAATATTTAATTATTATATTCTTTAAAGAGTTACACATTCATATATTATGTATATCCATTAGATGCAATGAATGCATCAACTGAAGTATAAATATAATTTTTACTCATATCACAACAATAGCGAAACAATTTTAAAGATCATATCAATCACTCTTGTTGGCTCGGATGGAAGCGCGCGATAGTTCTTACTGTGGAAAGAAATCGGAGTACCCGGAGTAAAACCCACGTGGTCGAGCAAGCGACCATACCACGTCCGTGACGTGAATCGATCCTAGGACGCCTAGGCGAAAGGCATGTGTGTTACTATTGACCCATCCAACCAGTATGTTATGGAAGTACATCTGAACTTTTTAATGCCTCATTTTGATGTAGGTCAAAAATCCAGTATGGCCGCCTTGACCCAATTACCAGAAATTCTAAAAACATCAATAACTCGAAAACTATAAATTTGCTACAATTATATTTTATGTAGAGGAGGGTCATATCTTACCTTTTTTTCTACATTCTAATAGAAATTCTTTCAAATAAAAAAGCGCGCTAAGGGGTTACGTAATCTAAGAATAGAAAAAAACAATTATTAGTAAATATCTTCAATTTTGTACCCCATTGTTTAATGCAGAATTTTAATGCGATTATTTTAGTGTCTACATTGCTTCTGTGACGTCTTTTTTGACGTTTTATTTCTTTTTATTAAAATTCCGATAGTTCAATGTAAAGTGCAGACAAAACGTTTGAACTAAAATCACTCCAAGATCCTAGGAAGAAATTTTATTATATTGTGATGGAATAGGTTTGGTAACGTGCCCTCTTAATTCTGATGATTTTCAACTTTGTCGAAAAAACAAAAATGGCCGCCATGACGCCATATTTGATTTTTGCCCTTACGTCAATATCTCAATAATGACGTGACATTTTGAAATCATTTTTGATATGTTATGTTGAATTGATAATAAATGGCACTTCTAATTGGACATTTTTGTGTAAAACGTCAACTTCCGGCTTAAGGTAGAGGTCAAAGTTCCAAATTGCAATTTAGGGTACAAAACTACCAGAAGTTTGGAAAGGTCTTGAGGTTTGATAGTTTACACATATATTGCCATGGTAATTGTCTGTTAAAAAAACCTGTAAAATGTTAAGCAAAGAATGCAATTAATATAATTGCTGTTCTACGTATCCCCCGATGGAACAATAATATTTTCATTGCTATAATAATTAATTAATCAAATCACTCTTCGTCCGTCATCAGTCGGTCATTCCGTCCATCTTGAACCTTTTTTAAAGGAAATGAACAAAGTTAAGCTTTGGACATTAGTGCTGTTAAAAAGGAGCATTCCTTTTTTCCTGTACAAAGTGTAGTCAAATTAAATGCAAGCGCTATATATTTTCTTTTTTTTTCTTTTTACAAATTAGCGCAATCCACAATTATTGCTATAGATACAAAATGCTGAAATTCCAATTAATGTATTCACATTTCAGAGCAATATTTTCGACACGAAAAGCTTAATAATATGATTACCGCTTAAATATCACATTTACAATCTATGGTCGAAAATTTTCCTAACACCAAAACATTCAGGATTTTGAGCACGTCATTTGTAACAAGGCAATTCGGAAGGAAAGTTAGCGTTTAGTCTGATGATATTTTTTCTGTACGTAACGTTTCAATTCGTTTGAATGGTGACACGGTCCATAATATACACAAGTACTTCACCTTGGTTTTGATGACCAAGGATGGAGAGTTATGAAATGCGTTGAGATATGATGTTAGTACAACTCCTTATCTGTGGTTTTGTCATTGATGTTGATTTCCCTCAGCCGTTTCCTGATATGTTTGACCCGAGTCGAGAGAACTATTGACTCCACAATATATACCTACACACACATGTTCATATCTTATCTGAATCACACTCAAGACTTCTCCAGATTCATCCTGGGGACCCAAATCAAATCCTATTATTGAAATACTGGTCAGGGATTAATACATTGTTTAGTTATACGTGATATCGGTTATATTAAATAATGATACGTGTGATTTAATTGTGTCTTCTGTACCATTCTATATTGAGATTTTTCTATGTAATCACACCAGAATCCCTAATTATTAATATTTCTTTGAATGAGGAGCACCATCTCCCTCAGGAAGAGAAATATCGTATCTATCTTTCACAACCTTGACATCGTCTGGGTGTCAGCATTTACTTCCTCTATTCTATGTCACCCACGTGTGTATCACAGGTTGCATATTAATGTTAAACATAGAAACAATCTTTATAAACGAATAAATCCTGTAACGAAATTAAAAGAAACCCGGTACTATGCAGAATTGACATCCTTTTTTAAAGGAAATTGTACTAATTTGATACGCTTTAAGCATTTTACTTCTCAATGTATTTACAACCAGATATAAAATCGTCACAATATTAAAATTCAACGTTTCGGAACGATATCAACAGAAAGTCAACTGTGTTATAATGTGACGCTACAGATTTTTTGTGGTGAAATTCGAGATTTCATGTTAAACCTATGCCTACTGAACATCATTAATACGTGTCGATATTTTAAACTCACTTTTGAACAATCATTACAATATTTGCAGTAGAATTACCTTTTTCGCCAGAGTGCAATAAAGTATATGAAAATGAACATTTTTGCCTAATAAAACAGGATGAAATGGTCTGTAGGTATTGGTCATGGCGGATCTGAAATAAATTATCAGATTGTTAAACGTGTTTTATTTACTTGCTACATTTTTAGCTCACCTGGCCCAACTTTTCACTTAAACAACTTCTTCTGAAATACCGAAAGGCATAGTGTTATCATATTTGGCTGGAAGGTTGCTATGATGAAACCCAACAAAGTTTGCAAAAAGAAATGACCTTGACCTATATTCAAGGTCACAAAGTCAACTTTTCATTTAAACAACTTCTTCTGAAATACCGAAAGGCGTAGTCATTATATTTGGCATATTTGATTAAGCTTTGTGAAAAAAATAACCTTGGTTTCAAGGTCACAGAGTTCAAATGTGTTAAAAACATTTAAGCGACTTTTTTCAAAATACCGGAAGGCCTAGAATCATTATATTAGGTTACTATGTTCCTCATTTTGGTGTCCAAGAAAATTTCCTAAAAGAAATGACCTTGACCAATCTTCAAGGTCACATGAGTCAGATGTGTTAAAACGTTTTAACTATTTCTTCTGAAATATCGAAATACCTAGAATCATTATATTTTGCCAGTATGTTCCTTTTATGAAGTCCAAGAAAGTAAAACAAATGATCTTGACCCATAGTCAAGGGCACGGGTGTCAAATATGTTAACCGTGGAACATATGCACAGATATAGTAATGTTGGTCATAAAGATCCAGGTGAGCGATACTGGCCCTCTGGGCCTCTTGTACATTAGTTTAATCTATTTCTTAGATGTGAGCTAAAAATCCAACGAAGGAGGTCAATTGACGAATACACATTCTAACAGACGGAACAGCATAATTCTGCAGTATTAGTAAATGGCTGGGAAAAAAACGGAAAAAAAATAAATAAAATTAAACGAATAAAAACACCAAATTCTTGATGTTTTCTTAAATCATTGGTTCATGTACTGTTATTGATTAAACTGTTACATGTAAATTCATTTTTCATGCATAACAATGGAATCTTCATAACAGTATTAAGCAA